GAAAATAATTTTGAATCATAATTCTGAATTCATGAACAAAACGTCCACAAATGATTTTACACTAAACTAAAAAATGAAATTGTTTTTAATTTTCTTCCCTTTTTTCCTCCAAACACGTTTTTCCCCTCAATCTCATTTTTTTGTCTTGAAAAACGTGAAAAACATAGACGAAATTGGTTCCAAACATGCTAGACATGTTGCTGTCTCAACTCTTTTTTTTGGTTGATTTTTAATTGTTTTTGAAAACATATCTGCACATTTTTTAAGACACAAAAATAAAAACGGCACGTAAATCATATTTATTTAGTAAATGTTTTAAAAATGAAAATAAAAAAAAAAACAGTGATAATGATTTTTATAAAGGAATAAGAAAACGATTGAAACTTGTTTTCGGTTTTCTGTTTTCATTTTCTAATATATATCAACAATGTTATATTAAAATTTAATTATTAATTATCAATTATATAATATATTAATTAATAATTAATAAATACATAATAATACTAAATTGTTAATTAAATGTTAATTTATTATTATTAAATTTTGTATTCATTAATTAAAATAAATAATATATAATAAATAGTAATTATTTATTTAGTTAAAGATTAATTGTCAAAAATTGATTATAAAATATAGTAATAATGAAATAATTAATAATTTTATTAAATGAATAATCAATAAATAATATGTCACCCATATAATATATTAATTATAATTTATTGATTAGTAAATAATTGATAAATAGTAAATAAACAGTAATTACTTAATCAATATTTAATATTAAATTATAATTAGTAATTAATTATTGTTTAAATAATAATTATCAAAATTGATCATGTAATATTTCAAATAATAAGTTATTAAATAAACATTATAAATTAATGTTTAAATAATAAACATTACTAATAAATCATTAATATACTGATTGTTTTTCATTAATACACTAATTAATTACTTATAAACTAATAATTATGAGTACATTACTATAGCATAATAATTTCTTATATATTGTTTATTAATTATTAGCATATTAATTTATCAAATATATAATTTAATTACTAATGTACTGATTAATAATATTATATCCATTATTATTATATTAATAATATATTAATTTTTATTTGCTAAGTGATCATTTATTATTAATTACTTAATATATTAATTTAAGATTATTAGTTATATGCACTCAAAACAAAATTAATAATATAATTAAACATGATTTCACTTTTTTATTATACTCAAAATAATCTCTTAACAAACCAACCAAATGCAATTGCAAAATTGTTCTCAAAATGATTTTAAAACAATCTCATTTTTACTTTTATGCTAAAAACAAAATCATTTTGAAACGTTACCAAACGGGCCCTTTATTTTCTTTTAAAAAAAAGGAAAAAGAAAAAGAGAATATCTATTTTAATTTTTTAAGACAAACTATTTTAGTTTTTTAAAAAATTTTAGGAATTCTAAGAATATCTATATATAACATTCATGACAATGTGTATTAATGCATTTTTTAAGGGAAATTGGGCCAGATGACAGTTGGGCCACCCAGTTGAAAATAAGAACCTGTTTAGTTTACTGATTCGAGTTTTTAATTAGAGTTGAGATATGACTTATGTGATAATTTTTTACTATAGTAAAAAAGTTAAATGTGATTATTTTTTAGAGTTTTTTACTGTAGTAAAACTCAAATTCTAAACTCAAATCGGTAAAATGAACGGAGTTTAAATGTCTACACTATTTTTAATTTAAGTGGATTGCCGCTTCTTTATAATCTCTCCCCGATATCAAGCGGCAATCCATAATCTCTTCCATCGTGGAGAACGACGAGAAGAGTATAGACGAGATCTCACTCGGTAACCTGCACTAGCTAACCGAAATAATACATTTGCATTAGAGATCTTATATAGATCCCCTAGCTGCGTGAGGACTTTTCCACTTTTACCCCTTTCATTCTCCCTTTTAATTCACGTTAAATATGTCTATACAAACGGACTACCTATTAACTATCAGTATCAGAGACTGAAATTTGTGGGATGAAAACGAAAAAATGGATTAACATGAGATAGTGTGGAGGGTGAGAATTTCGAGAAGTGGTTTGAAGGAGAAATGCTCTGTTTTTCTGGAATTTGCAAGAAATGATAAAGAGGATAGATCATTAAGGACCTGGACCTGTTTAGTTCGCTGATTCGAGTTTTTAATTTAAATTTAAAAGTGATTTTATATGAGAATTTTTTACCGTAATAAAAAAATTAAATATAATTATTTATAAATATTTTTTACTATAATAAAATTTTATTATAAATTTGAATTAGTGAAATAAATAAGACCTCAGTGTATTAATTGCTAAGACCTTCCATATATTTGATTTTCGAAACCTGTGTCCATGCGTTTAAAAACTAAACTTAGCTATTGTTGCACATCTCCCTTTTTTTAAGGTCTAGGTTTATTTTTTCCTGACTTAAAAAAAAAAAAAAAGACGGGGGGTTACCTCGCGAATGACGCATCATGAAGTCGTAATCGATATTCTTGCATTACATTCTCCGTTGACTGATGATAATTTTGTTATTTTTGTTCTCTTACTTTAGAATATTTTAGAATTTTTTTTTTGAAGTCCATGGAGTCACGGTTAAAAGGCCTTCGGGATCTTAATTAGTCCAATAAAATATTTTTTATCGTCTCTTCTTTTTCCAATAGAGTTGTTTATTGCTAATTATTATTTGGGCGGTGCAAAGAGATATGTAACTAGAATCACATTTGGAAATAATATTTTGATCAGGATGAATGAGTTAAAAAAAAGGAAAAAACTATAAAACTCAAGATGGTAAAAAAATTTATTTATATCATTCTATTAAAAAAATATATAATTATTAATTAATTAATAAAAAATAAAAGGATATAATGTTACTTAATTATTTAGAATGACATAAATAATAAATATATTTAAAATTATGATAAATTATATACTTTTTTCTTTAAAAAAGTTAAAAAGAATTGCAAAAACAAAAAATATGAATTTTGAAGGAAAAAAAGTATAAAAAAAGAAAAAATCAAAACGAGATACTGTGTATATTGCGGTAAAACACAACACAGACATACTTTGCTTAGCACACATAACTATTTTTTTTGGTTCAGTATCCATCTATCCGCCAGATACTTTTCGTATCCTGTCAGGCTGGCTGAGGAGGAAGTTATCATAGGTCTGTTTTGTTCGCTGATTCAAATTGAGATGTGATTTTATATGAAAATTTTTTATTATAATAAAAAAATTAAATGTGACAGTTTTTTAAAATTTTTTATTATAGTAAAACTCTAATCGGTTAAATGAATGGGGCATAGATGTTTTTCTGGGATATATGTTTGCGTTGTTTCTGTTTTTATTAGTTCCGTTTAAGTTAACGGTTAAAGTAATGCTTCCTGTGTTACATATACTTTTTATAGAAGGAAAAAATCTATAAAAGGAGGAACACATAAACCGAATCCATTAATTGGTGTTATGTATTTTGACTGTTTAAATCGAATTAAAATTAAATCAAAGTTTAAATAATACAAAAATTTAACATAATATGATAAAAATATAAACAAATAAATAAATAAATTGGTATAAATTATCTTGGATATACAAATGAATAAGCCAAGCATATGCATTATTCTAGTTCCTGACAAAATTGTCCCCGTGCAAGTTGCAACGATACTAGAAACTTAAAAATTACACCATTGTCAGGTACCCACCAATCTCCTTATCTGCCATTATGTTCTATAGTAATTAGGTCTCTAATCTAGCTTTTCAGAATGATAATAAACCCTTGTATTCATTACTGAGAATTAACTGCTTGTTGTCATAAAACCTTGAAGATTAATGACCATGACAGTAATGTCATCCATGATCCCTCTGCTTGAAGACATATCTACAAGCGTTTTACAAGCCTTGACGACTGATGAATCTTCCCTTTGAACCACATCCACTGCCTCCTGATCATCTACCTGATTCATCAAGTTAATCTATATTAGAAAATTATTTATGCTTATACTACACATTAAAAGCATATATAAATAGTAATCCTTTCAGCATATGGATCATATTATACGCATACCTTGTCCCAAAGTCCATCAGAAGCCAATATCAAGAATTCGCAGTCTGAAGTCAGAGGAAGGCTTTTTATTTCAGGATCAGAAATGACCCATTCCTTCAGATGTTGGTCACCGATCGCTCTGGACACTGCTAGTGTTCCTTGAACTCTCCATACTCCATTGCAACATTGCACAAAACCTCCCTGCCCAACATATTATAGTTAGCTTCTTACATTACACACTATATATCCTCGTCGATGCTAAGCAATCATACCCGACTTGTTAGTGCGTGGTGTTTAGCACCAACGGTTTCCTATCATTTTTCGAACATTAATTTTACTACTTACAGAATTCTCAATACGAAGACGCTCGTCTTGCCTTGTCAAACGGTGATGCTTGGTTAAAGCATGAGCTATTCCTTTTCTACTGAGGACTACTCTACAATCTCCGACGTTGGCTACATGCAAATGTCCATCTCTTAATAGCACACTTGCTGCACAAGCTCCACTACTTACACCCTGCATGCAGTACACACATTTTAAGAATATATATATATATATATATATATATATATGTAACTATTCTGACTTATAAGTAAATAGCCATTATTGCTTTTAATATTCGATTTCCGTCAAAACCAACATTGCTTTTAGTATTAATTGAGTTTAGAGACAACATTGAAAATTATAATTTTACTACCAGAAACATATGCATATCCACAACAAATTTGAAGTTATAAAGAAAACTAAAATCAATTTATAACAATGAATTGCTGCACAACAAAAAAATGTAACAACCGATTCATGTTTAGAAATAGGGCTCCACTTACTATGGATCAATTTCCTGTTATATATTATTAGCTGCTTGATATGAAGTTAATAATTTGTTGCTTTTCTTATGATTCATAATCTAATTGTTTCTAGGCCATGGCCATGCAATCGATTTATCGTTCTAAGAATGAAAGACGAAAAGGGAATATTTGCAAAACAAATCGCTAAAGTAGATCGCTTCTTAGTTGGTAAAAGAAACGTATTGAGAACCGCATTTCATTATCAGCTAAAAAGTGTGTGTATATGGATTCATGAAGCTTCTTCAAACTCATATATCATTAAATTGGTCGAGAATATTGATATTGAAGTCAAATTAATTAATTAATTAAAAGAGTTCTGGAGCCAAAAAAAAAAGAAGGTCAAAGTAAAGAAGTTTACCGTGCCAACGCAAATTATTAAGTGACAGGTGCATTATATCATTAAATTATATGAACTTGTCCAAGAAGCCATTAGATTAGTTAGCAAACCACGTATCTATATTTTAGGAGACCAAGTCAAGCGAGGAGTTCAAAATGCTAAATATGTCATTTCTTTTCTTTTTTGAGAATCCAAATAGATATGTCCAAAATATTACACCCAAATGAATTAGCTTAATATAATTACCTGACTAAGAAACCCCTTATCAGTGGCTAAGTAGCCTCCATGAATAGTCTCTTCTATTTGATGATGATCTTCTTCCTTCTTAACATGTTCTATCCCTTTCACAATGTTCCTCCCTAAATTTTCAGCAACGTAATCCGTCGCCGCACGTCCTCCATGCCCGTCGATTACTGCGAAGAATGCCTGCATGATGACAAACATTAGCCCTTAATATATAAGATCAAGGATCATAACGTAATTATACTTTAATCACGATTAACAAGAGATCAATAACCACTGAATTCTCATACATTATCAGTATACCGAGTCTTAGATAGTAAATGTTATGGAATAAAAAATGCTTTTGCATTATATACAAGTTCCAAAATTTTCACTAATGTTTTTTAACCTGAAAGATTAATTATAAAAGCGATCTTATATATAGAAGTAACTATGAAGGGGAAAAAAAAAAAAAACTATACGTTTAATATTAAATGCTTACTTGTTTGGGATCACCCATAATGTCAAGCAAAACTCCATATCCATCCTCCATGACCTCCCTCCTTCCTTTCTTTGCTGCCAAAGAGAAATCTCGCCCTTCAACCTCAAATTCCTTGCTCTCCAACCTCCTACTCTTCTCATGACCAAATTCCTGATGGCCCGGCGAATATTCCGGCACAACCAGCCTCGACGGCCTCTTTCGCAACTTGATGCCCCCGGCCGGTTTATTAGCAACCGTGGCCTCCCCAGCCTTTCCCATTCCAAGACAACTTGATTCTTCTTCTTTTTCCAAATCAACATTTTCTTGGAAACAAGTACTCTCATTGGTAGTCATAAGATTTCCATGGCATTGATCAATCACTTCCAATATTTTCGGATCATATTCTTCTTGATCATGGTCATGATCACTTTGACTTATAATAGGTCCTCCTCCACATGATGGGACAAAAAACTGGCCAACCCAAGAGAGATTAGGCGACAAAGAAGAGATTGGAGGAGGAGAATTGAAGGTTAGAGCCATATTGCAACTAATCAACTTTTTCAGGCCTTGGTAAAGGTGAAGAACAATATAGAGGATAGAGATGCTGAGTTCTTGAAGATCTATGGTCATTACTTTTTGTGTAGAAACTGATTTGATTTGTTATAGTGCCTTTATATATACGTACGACTTGTAGAAAATATATATATGTAATTGTAGGAGATGTATTTTGTTGAAAAAGAAGTGTGGGTTATGAGGTTTTATTATGAACTCTTTAAGAAGACGGCAAGAAAAGGTAATATGGGAAGTGGGAACAAGAAGAAAAAAAGGAAATTAGAACATAAAATTTGGTGGCGATGATGATGATGATGATTAATATTGCCGAGTCAAAGGGTAAGACTTTATCTAACGGCTAGGACAAAGACCCTTGTTTACAACATGACGAAACATTACTATGAGAGAGAGAGAGAGAGGTTTTGAAACTTTCAAGCCTTCCATGACAAAGGAAGTAGTCTCACAGAAAGACGGTACCGTCCAAAACAAAAGAATCTCATTTGATTTTGGTTTCCCAATTTAATTCTTCCCTATTTGTGAATTTTTACTTATGCAAACCGGAAAAGCATTACTGTTTGACCTGGTTAACAATCCAATGGGAACAAACCAAAAAAAATAAAATAACATTTCTGAGTTTGACAAAGTTAGAGTCGGGAACATTACGTATTAGTCAAAATTTAGCTGTAATTTTTTACAAAAAAAAAAAAAAAACCTGTAATTTTCTGCAAATTAGTGGCCAACTTAAGTAAAATCAGATACAAGAGACAAAAATAAATTGCCTGCTGAAAACGACTCCTTGGTTTTATTTGCCTTTTTTATTTAGAAGAAACGAACTAGTATGTATTGCACATGCAATAACGTTTAGAATGATTATAATTTTCCTATATTACTTTCTGGAAAAAAACAGGAGAAATTGTCCGATATATCGAGTCTATTTCTTCATTATGCCCCGCGTAATAAACAACTGATATTCGGTTTATTTTTCTACGTCGTTATCGTTTAATATATAAATATATAAGATTTAGGAAGCCTAATTATGATAATTGTGAGTCTGTGACTAATTAGTAATTTAAGTCATATAGATTAATAAAAAATTGATATTTCGGGTGATTTTTCTAAGTCGTTTTCGTTTAATATATATATAAGGTTTAGGTAGACTAATTATGATGAGTGTAACTAAGCAATTAAGTTAAATAAAATATATCAAGAGTGAGAAAGATGATTAAATGAGCCTAAAGATCAATAACTTAACAAAAGAACATGATTATACCACGTGGAGGGGTGTGATTACGTGCACATGATTTCTTAACAAAAGAACAAAGAAAATTTCCTGGCGAAAACCAAACAATCAGAAAATAAATGAGACGAATTTACCAATTTTCTCAATATTATTTGCTTTTTGCCCAACCGACACTAGGTGTATCTTGGAAGTTTGGCCCTTACAAATAGTGGTATATCTTGAAATGACCAAGTCTTATACTATATTAATGTGAATATGAATATGATCACATGTCCCTTATTCCGGGGCCTGTGCCTCGTCGTTTCCATTATTTTGAATGAAAAGTTCTTTTTATGTTCAATCCTCCGAAAGGGAAATATATCATGTAGGGGTGTTCATAGGTTGGGTTAGTGCGGGGTAGGATTTTTTTTTTCTCTGCCTCAAAGGGTGCGGATTGCACATATTTAGCCCTAACAATGTTAAAAAAATTTCACAATCCAACAATGTTCGGGTTGAGTTGGGTGTTTCGTTTTAACATTCAAAAAATCAAAGGCTTAAAGTTCAATATAATATTCAAACTTCATCATTAAATAGAAATAGCAACCATCTTTATCAGTCCATCTAACATTAAACATGAAGCAAAGTAGTCCATCCAACATCAAATACAAAGCAAACATAAATTAGTCTACACTTATAAATTAGTCTTAACATAAAACAAATAGCTTAAGCAAAGCAAACATAGAGGCTTAAATCTTAATTCAAATCCATCCAAAGCAAGCATTGCAACATCAACCATCTTTATCAATCCACACTCATAAGCTCCTCAATGGTTGTAGTAGGACATGAAGTCGAGTTATCTACAAGAGAAATGAAAATAGCTTAAGTAATAATTTGGATAGTTTAGAGTTCATATAATAAAATAGATTAAGATACATACAAATTATTGTCTTACCTAGATTTACATAAGTCTCCAAGTCATCCAAATAGTCTCTAACTTGCATAGAATCATGTGTAGACCTCAACCAATTTTGCGTACAAACAAGAGCCTCCACCATCTTAGGATTCAAAGAACTCCTAAATGGATCCAGAATGCGACCACCAGTACTAAAAGCTGACTTGGAAGCAACTGTGGAGACTTGGACAGCAAGTACGTCACGGGCAATTTGAGACAAAACCTTGAACTTCTTACTATTATCTTTCCACCATTCTAAAATATCAAAATCAGGGTTAAAGGGTTTACATTCTCATCAGCTAGATATCTGTCCAGGTCATTTTTCTCCATATAATTCCCTCGTTGCTTCAAGAATTGACTTAACAACTTATTGACCGCTTGAACAAGTCATTCTTTGGGAGTATTTGCTGCCATTTCTCCATTTTTTCCATTATCAACCCCTTTACCATAAAAGGACATCAAACTAGACAATGTTTCATCCACTTTTTTGCATAACTTAGAGGCTGTGGTAGCATCATAAACCATGCTAAAATAGTATCGAAGATAGTCCCTTTTATATCTAGGGTCAAGTACAACAGTAATAAACAACATACAGTTAATATTTTCCCCATTGCCCCAATATTTTTCAAACTTCCTTCTCATCCTAAAAGCCATGGTCGACAACAAGCAATCACTACTTTCACACAACTCACTCAATTGTCTTTGAATGGAATAAATCTCATGGAAAAAAGTGTTGGAAGTGACATGTTGTGATGCACTAAATTTCAAAGTGACTTCATAAAAAGTCTTAAGAAATGGAATAAAAACCTTAGCATTTGCCCAATCTTCCTCCATTGGTGGTCCCACTTTTCTCTTCCCACCATTTTCTTCGAAAAAGTATCATAAGAACTTTTCATCCTCCTCTTCATATCTATCAAAAGCCTTTTGGAACTTAATAGCAACATCTAACATCATGTATGTTGAGTTCCACCTAGTTGGGACATCTAAAACCAACGAACCCTTATATTCAACTTTCTCTTGCTTCACAATCTTTGAACTTTTGTAACCTTGCAGGAGAAGATTTGACATACTTAACAGCATTTGAATTGCTGTTATTGAGCTATGCATCTCCTTTAGTCCTTCAATTACAATGAGATTAACAATGTGAGCAACACAATGCTGATGGAGAAATTCACCATCCAAAACAGCGCCCTTCCACCCATTCACCCTCCGTTTGAAATAACTCAAGGCTGAATCATTGGCAGCAGCATTATCTACTGTCACCGTGAACACCTTTTCAAGCCCCCATTCATGCATACATTGCTTAATCAACCTCCCAATGGTTTCCCCTTTTCCATTTGGCATGGTACAAAAGTTGATAATTCTCTTTTGAAGCTTCCAATCAGAATCAATGTAGTGGGCAGTTAGACACATATAGTTTATGTTTTGCAAAGAAGTCCAACCATCAGTTGTAAAAGACACCCTCTTACAATCCTTGCATAAAGAAACTTTTAATTTTGCCTTTTCCTCACTAAACAATTGCAAAACATCTCTAGCAACTGTTATTCTTGAGGGAGGAATAAATTTGGGCTGGATTACTTGGCAAAATTGTTTAAAGCCATCCCCTTCTACACTCTTAAACGGCAGCTCATCCATGATCACCATCTTAGCTAAAGCTTTCCTACAAGCTTCTTTACTATACCCAATTGCCAACAAACCACTCCCACTTTCACTACTCGCACCAAAACTTAACAATTTCTGCTTCTTATCTTCAACTCTAAAGGGATTCTTTTTGCATTTTCTTAAATGAACCAACATGCTACTTGTCCCGTGCGTTCTAGAACTACAAGCATAGTCCTTGCCACAGTAATTACACACCCCTCTTTCATCACCTGGACTCCTCCCTTTCTTAATAGTAAAATGATCTCAAACCTCAGATTTCCTAACGGGCTTTTTCTTACCATATGTTCCCTCATTCTCATCTAAATCAATCACATCTTTTTTTGGTGATCTAGGGGCTGGTGTTTTGAAAATCATGTCAGAGACAGGCGATTCGTTTGTTGTACGATTAGGGGATCGGGAGGATGATGCTACAGTTCCAGAGGTTGGGGTGTGGTTGTCAGATGATGATAGGAACTTGTCCATCCTAAACAGAAAATATAAAGTAAGCCATTCACATAACAGAGAGCATAGTGAACATAATGACTAATAGAAATCATCCAGAGCTTAGAAACTAAGCATTAGTATTAGCACTAATTGAGTAAATCCGAGTACCCTAATAAAACCAATTCATTCATTCCTATGTGAAGGAGAGCAACCACACATTTGAAACGAATAAATAAATACAACCAATTCATTCATTCCTCTGTGAAACGAGTACCCTAAATTTAAGCTCATTTTTTGTTTTACCAAAACTTATGCTCATTTCATTTATAAAATAAAAAAAAAATAAAAAATGTCTCCTTTCAGACAAATTCTCAAACAGGTAACGGGCAATACCAAAAGCCCGCCACAGAAAATTCATCAAACCAATAAACACAGCCCATCCAGGGAGACAATCTGAAACGAATAAACAAATGAAAAAACAGATGGAAAACGACGAAAACATGAAGAAACGACAATTTTAACGAGACAATCTGGATTCTGGAGTCCAGGGTTGCTTTTTTCGGCTTGGGTTGGGGTGGGTTGGGTTTGCGGGTTGTGCGGGTTTATGAACAGCCCTAATATCATGGATATTTTCCTTTGCATGTATAAATCCATTCAATTTCTAAGAATTTTCTTGATTGGAAATATTATTTTGATTTTAGTTTTCAATTCAGAAAAAAATGATGACTTCACATTTGTGATTTTACTTTTGATTTTAGTTTCCTTTTTTTTTTGGCTCATATATATGCAGTTTCACTTCCCCCTTGTATTTTGTTGTTCTTGTCATTTTTAAGTTTGTACAGCTTAATGGTTTTTGTCGTTTCACATTTATTTATTTTTTGTTTATTATTATTATAGTTTATACGGCTTTTGGTTTGTCGATATGAAGATATTATCGTTTCACGTGTACTTTTCCAATCGTCGTCGTTTTTAGGTTATATTGTCGTTTCATGTGTGCTTATTGTCGATTTTTGGTTTGCAAATGAAATCAGAGCCAAAAAAGGGAAATTACCTAAGGGTTCGTTTGGTATACATATTTGAACTTATGATTATGATTATGCTATAATATTTTCTTCTCACAAAAAATTTGAATAAAAAAAATTCCCATCAATAGTTCTCTCACAAAGAATTCTTTTATGTTCGAGCAAAGATCACGTCTCCAAGAGTTAATTTATTTATATGTTTTATTGTTTTTATTATTTCTATTTTTTATTGTTTTTAAATCATAACCAATGCTTTTTTTATTGGTTTGTTTCATTCGTTCGAATTAAGGATTTGAATTAAAAAGTGAATTTAAATGAGAAAAAATATTGTAATTGAAAAATTAATTTGAATTTTTGTGAGAGAAAATATTGTAGTAAAAACTTGGTTCGAACTAACGAGATATTTTTTTTTTCTCTTGTTTATATATTTCTGTTACATGGCAACACATATACTATGGATCTTTTTAAACCATGGTCATATATTGTGGATCCGTTTATACTAGAGGTGTCAAATGGGCCGGGCCGTCCATGGACGGCCCAACCCAGCCCGTAATAGTGCCTGATTCGGCACGGCCCGATTCGTTACTGTTACGGGCCGTGCCGGCACGGGACGTGTAATGGACTAGGGCTGGGCCTCAACTTCTCAGCCCGTGGCCCAAGCACGTGGAGGCCTGTGGCATGGTCCTTATTCGGCCTGGCCCAAGCCCGCGAAACGGCCCATGAAGAAGCCCATTTCATTTGGTCCAGTGGGCCCTTCACGGGCCTAACGTTCGGCACGTGACGGGCCTCCCGTTTGGCCCGTCACGTGCCTCCCGTTTGGCACGTGATGGGCCAAACGAGAGGCCCGTCACGTGCCGCACGTTGGGCCCGCGAAGGGCCCAACGGGAAAAAACTGAATTTTAACCCAAAAATCCCCTATAAATACCCCTTAATTCCACCATAAATCCCACACAACAATTCACTCTCATCTTCTCATCTCACTCTCATTCTATCTCTCAACTTCTCTCTTTGATTTTGATTCTAAGCTTTTTTCTCGTGTTCATTCATTTTCTAGCTCTTTCATTTACAAAGTTCAATCAAGTTCTATCAATTTCCAGAAAA